TACTTGGAAGGCTGAGGCGGAAGGATCGCCGGAGCCCTTCAGGCGAGGCTGCGGTGGCTGGAAGCGGCCACTGCACTCCAGTCTGGGTAACCGAGTGAGACTCCAACACACACACACACAAAAGAAAGATAAATGGGGAAATAAAGAAGACTGGAATATTTTATTTGATCTTGCTTTATTATTGAAAATATACATGAATATGATAAAACATTAAAATATTTTTACAAGAAAAACAAGCACATTGTGAAAAATATTTCTTCCCCCACCCTAGTTCATGAATTAGTTACCCAGTCTATCCTTACATTCTAAAACTTTTATATGCAAATGCAAATACATATGTGTAAATATGCTTGTGTATTCCTTTTTATACACAAACGGAGTGTACATACTGTACACACGGTTTCATGTGTTGCTTTTAATTTTTTTCACTGATACTTTATCTTGGGACTCATTCCCCATAGGCCTTTATGGATCTGCCTTTTTCTTTCTCATGGCTACATCATATCTCATTATGTGGCTGGACCATAATTTATGTAACTAATCCCTTATTAATAAATATTTTAGTAGTTTTGCCCTTTTGCTATTTTAAACCATATATATTATATGTTTATTATAGAAAACAAAAGAGTAAAAGCAACTTCACACCAACACACACACACACACACACACACACACACACACACACACACACACACTCACACTCACACACTCTACACTCCCTCCTTGAGTCCCTGGGTGTTCCTTCTACACAGCTGGCTCCAAACACCACCAAATGTTAGTGACTCCCAATCTCTATCTCCTGCCCAGATCAGATCTGTAAGTTACATGTAGATTCTAAATTGATGGAGAATTCCATCTGGCCATGCCAAGAACACCTTATCTCAGGACGGACTTTTTTTTTTTTTGAGTTGGAGTCTCACTCAGGCGCCCAGGCTGGAGTGCAGTGGCACGCTCCCTGCCACTGCAGCCTCGACCTGCTGGGCTCCAGTGATCCTTCCGCCTCAGCCTTCCAAGTTGCTGGAACTACAGGTGCACGCTACCATGCCCGGCTAATTTTTGATATATTGTAGAGACAAGGTCTCACCAAGTTGCCTGGGTGTGTCTCGAACCTGCAGGCTCAGGCAATCCACTCACCTTGACTTCCCAAAGTGCTGGAATTACAGGCTGAGCCACCGAGTCTGGCCAGGACAGACATTTTTAACTCATGTTTTCCCACAAATCAGCTTCTCCTCCTCTTTGATTTCCTGCCATCCTCAACACCTCCCTGTCCTTCACCCACTCCCATCAAATCTTCGGTCTTATAGAGTCTGTCTCCTTCTGTCACTCACACTACTCCCCCTTCCCATCTTTTCACCATTGTCTTAGCAGATGCCTCCTCCTTCTCCTGCCCAGGCTATTGCAGTGGTTTCACTGCTTTTTTTCTTTCTTTCTTCATCCTCTTCTCATCATTCTTCCATGACAGCCGCAGGATCTTTAATACAAATTTGATTCTGTCACTCCTGACCTGAAACCCCTCCTAACCTGTCCCATTGCTCTGGTGTTGTTTGAATTCTTCTGAGCACTGCCTTTCTGGCTTCAGTCTCAGCCCACCCTCCCCTTAGCCCACCTCTCCAGTCATACCAATTCCTTTGTCAAAGAGGCAATAACTCTGACAGACATGTGAGGATCCAGACTCCCAGGGAGTTATCTATGTGGCTGCTGGGGGAGGGCCTTCAGACCAACCCTTGGAAACCCAAGTGCTCAGTGGTGAGTGCTGATGGAAGCAGCAGGTTTGAGCACCTGGGTCTGGGGTCAGTAACCCTGTAGGCCTCATAAGTTCTGGGAGTGATGGAAGGTGCGCTGTGGTTCGGAAAGAGACTGACACACCTGTGTTGAGATGGGAACTTCTATGAATCCCATTTCTACTATTCTTTGTCATGCTCCTCAGGCCTGACTCTAAGCCATGGGTTTTGGTTCTTGAGGTTACCTAGAACCTGTGAGGTTTGATTTGTGGGAGATTCAAAGCCTAGGGAGAGACCCTTGTCCTACCCTATGAGGGCAGAGGACTCAGGATTGGGATCGGGATGAGAACAGACAGGACAGGGCCTTTGCTTGGCTGGAGTGGACACTGAAGCCCCTGATGGGGATGGGTATTGGCTTGGGGCATGGACGGAGTCCAGGTCTGGAGAGCTTCTGAGGAGGAAGACAGGAGCAAGCCAGACCAGGTTTCCTCCACACCTGGAGGTGGCGGCTACAGGATCACCCTGGACTGGGATGTGAAGCATAAAAAATGAGCATCAGGGCAACTCCTTTGGGTCCCCTCCTACTGTGGGAGCTTTACTGTCCTCTCTAAATCCTGCTCTCTAAAAAAAAGAGCATCTTTTCAGAAGGAATAAGAAAGTCGCATGATTGAAATGATCTCAGTTGTAACCAAACTTGTCAATGAGGAGGAAAACCTGACATACGGTGGTGTCAGAGAGGGAGGAAAAGGAGAAGGAAAGGGCAGAGGAGAACAGGCCAGGAAGAAGGAAAGGAAAGAAATTTAAAAAAAAGTCAAAGTCCGCCCTGCCCTGGCTGGCATGAAGGGCTGGAGACAGTGGCGCTGTGATGGCGCGGGGGCTATCCAGGAGCTCCATCCCCAGCGAGAGCCCTTGGGCAGGAGGACAGAGGGAGAAAGTGACCCCCGGGACCTGCAGCTCCAGGGCTGACCCTGTCTCTCTGTCTAGGCTGTCTGTACCTCCAAGCCTGGTCAAAGCCTGTGTTTGAAGGAGAAGCCCTGATTCTGTGATGCCAGGGATGGAAGGACACAGCACTGTCCCTGGTGAAGGTCCACAAAGATGAAGGATTCCTTCACTTCTCTAAGACAGCCAGACTCTGCCCACAACCACAGTGGGGATAGCAACAGTGAAAAGCAGTGGCCAGTATGGCTGCATTGGGCAGATGGCAGATGTTCACACAAACTTCAGAGACTGCCAAGTTTCAAAGCCAAGGTGAGTCACCAGCAAGGAGTTTGGTGGGCAGTGGGGTGCCACTCAGGGGCCCGGTCTCCAGAGGTCAGTAGCTCTCTGGGCAGCACACCTCTCTCTGGCTGCTCCTGGTGTTAGGCTGATGTGCAGGGCCCTGTGGAGTCCCATGATGCTGTCTAAATGCCCCCTCACCTGCGTGGGACACACCTGGAGCCAGCAGAAGGAGGCTCAACACCCTGAGGCACCTAGGAAGACCCTGGACCAGCCCAGCTGCTCACCCCGCTCCCCCCGCCGTGGACTCCATGACCTCTAAGGCCCTTCTGACTCTGACTTTCAAGATTCCAGAAGGGCATGGCTGTGTGACATCATCTCAAGGGACGAGAGGACAATTCCTGGAGATGAAACTGTCTCTGGTTGGGATCACGGGCTACAGTCAGGGATGTGCAGAAGCTCAGTCCTCAGCCTCCTGGGCCTTCAGCATCCAGGCACCCCTCCTGAGCCCTGAGCCTGAGCTGTTCCCATGTCCTGTGCTGAGCACTGTCTCTGCTCCCAAGCTCTGTGAGGGAGCCTGGTGACCCTGAGATGTCAGATGAGAGATTCACCCCAGAGGTCAACTTTGTGGCTCCTCTTCTCCTTCCACTAGGATGGGTGCACCTTGCAGAACAGCGGCCTCCACCCAGGGCTCTGCATGCCAGGAGACAAGGATGGAGTCTCTGGGCTTCACTGGAATGAGGTGGCCCCTGAGGGTTGCTGGGTCCAGGAACAGAGCCCTTAGCTGGAGAGCAGGGAGCTGAGTAAGGAGGGAGGAAGACACTCCCCAGGGATCTGGGCATCAGGCAATGGGACCCGCTCTCAGGAGTAGGGGAAGGGCATTTTGGGGGAGTAGGGAGCTGGGATCCTAGGTGGTCAAACGGACCCTCCCATGCCTCGTGCCATCCAGCTTCTGTGTCCTGTCCTCTGTTCAGTCTGAGACACTTCTGATCCTGCTGTGGGGACTTGATGGAACACCTCTGTGAGGCCCAGAGGGGCTCTCCTCTGATCCCGTATTTGTTCTTTCTCAGAGGAGAGATCCTGGGTGAGACAGGAGATAGCTGGAGAAAGTTTAGGCAGACAGATAGGTGAGTCCTCTGGTAACAATGTGGCGAACTCCTGGCAGGCCTCTCAGGTTCACCGTTGGTAAACAAGCTCTCTGTGAGCCTCTCAAGCTAGAGCTAAAGTCCTCACTGCTGGGATTGAAAAGCAACCTATCAAAACAGCAACAGCTCATAGCTAGTGCTAGCCAATTGGCTTGGACTTAGGGCTATATAAGCACCAGGTTTTCAGCCCCAGATGGGCAACCCCTTCGGGCCCCCTCCCTCTGCGGAAGCTTTTCTGTCCTCGATAAATCCTGCTTTCTCACCTTCCAGTTGTCCATTCCCTCATTCTTCCTGGGCATGAGACAAGAACCTTAACCCTGAAGAGCTGCAACCTGAAGAGCTGCAGAAGATTATTGGAGTCAAAAAGCCGTGCACCCCAGAGGCTGGCTTGCCAGCCGAGGGAGCCAGCTGAACCAAGAGAGCTGCCAGAAGAAGGCGAGACTCTGAAGCTGAAATGACCTGGGGGCTAGACTTGTCAGCACCCACCCCCAAGCTCTCAACACTCAGAGCTTGGCTTGCCAGCCCATTAGAGCTGACATTGTGGGGCTAGACTTACCAGCCCCTCCACGAGCCTCTCGGGCTTCGCTGGCTGACCCATTGAGCTGACACTCTTGAAGCCCAGGCTGACCTGAAAAATCTGCATTCTGGGGAACCCCTTGGCTCACCATGGCACAGCAGTCTCCTACCTCTCCCCAGTGAAGTCAGACAGGACACCGGAAACTACTCCTGGAAGGCTGAGAGCAGTGTCTCTAGACAGGGGAGTCAGCCCAGGAAGCTTCCCTGGATGCTGCGTCTGGTCCTTCACCAACCTGGCACTGATTGTGGGCACTTGAAGGATGTAGATGTGTGGAAGGAGAGAAACCTCAAGTGCCAGGCAAATAAGAAAGGGTGGCAGGACCTCAGCAGTGAGATGGGTCTCCTTTCTGTAATCACAGAAGTTATGGGTTCTCTTAGGGCTGGTTAGCTCTCACTAACCCTGAGCCATCTAGATCTTGGCTGGAGACACAGGCAGCTCTCTCCTGTGGCAAGGCTGTAGCGTATGTGTGAAGGGTGGGAGCGGGGGCAGAGACAGAGAGGCATACACAGGACATGAGCAGAGACAGGCAGGAGCTGGAGTCCCGTGTGTAGGCAAACAGGATCCCTGCAGGAGCCTGGTGTCCTCACCTTGGCCCTCAGTACTCTCTGAAGTTTCCAGATGCCCTCCCCTCAGAGCTGGTTGCAATTTCTGCTTCCTTTTGCTGCGGGCTGAATCATTGACAGGGGTCTTCATGCCTCTCTGCAGAGGGAGTTCCGTGGCCTTATAGATGGAGGGTTTTGGGAGCCACAGGTGTGTTTCCCAAGATTCCTCGGACAGCCAGGGGAGAAGTAGCAGCTGCCTGAATATTTGTGATTCACTCTGAGGCTCTGGGGTCTGGGCGTCAACTATGACCCTGAACTAGTGTCCGTCCCAAAGGGTGCTGCAAAGTTGCCAGGACTCTCACCTTCTATGCCTGGGAATCTCTTACTAAAGTGAGGTGACAGCATGAATCTGAGCCACTCGATCTGCGCCAGCATCTCTGTGCCTTCCTCGGTCTTAGATGGCACCGTGAGATGACTCTCTTCGCCTCACTCAGGGTCAGGCCATCTCCTCCAACCCCCTCTTGCAACCCAGAATACCTAAGCAGCTCACAAAGGGGCTCGATGGCCATGGACACATAGGGTCCCTGCTGGAGTCCTACCCCGGAATCTCCCTGGGACCCTGTTCCCCAGCAGTGTCATTGTCGTTGTCAGTGTAGTCTGGTTATACTTGACTGATTGGTTTGATTGATTGGTTCATTCCTTCCTTCCATCCCTTCTTCTTGTTCTGAAGATGAATTTTACCAGTTGCCTAGCAAAGAATCAACTTTCCCCAAAGAGAGTCTGGCCTTTGCCCTCAGCTACAGGGCAGTGATCTCTATGCCCTGGAATGTTATGTCTGATAGGACTCTCTTTGTTTGTATAGGGGTCTTGGCCATCAGACAGTCCAATAATGTGATTTATGATGGGTGACTTGGGCCAAGCAGTGTCATTTCTACCTCCAGAGGGACCAGAGACAAAGGCATCAGCCCAACCTCTCGGAGGCCTGGTGACTGAGGGTCAGTCACATGGGCAGTGTGTGATCTAGTCCTATTAAAAATTCCAAGGCTTGGGTGAGTTTTCCTGGCTGGCGCTTCTCCACTTGTGTTATCACACATCCATGCCAGGGGAGTGTACTGTCCTAACTCCATGGGAGAGGATGTCCTTGGTGCTTTCCTGGACTCCTACACTCTTCTTCCCTAGGATGATTTTAGCGTGTATGGTCCCTGTAATGAACCATTACCATGATTATAACAACTTCCAGTGTGTTCTGTGAATCCCTCTAGCAAATTATTAAAACGAAGGGTAGGTTTTAGAACTCTTCAAACTTGCAATTAGTGTCAGAAGTGAGGATGATCTTGTGTGGACTGTCTCCTCTAATGGTATGACGGGCTAAACTCTGGCACATGTCTTACAAAATGCATACAATGTCTCAAGATGAAATACCAGTTAGGGAAATGAGGTTGGAAGAAAGTAGGGAGGAAGATAAGTTGCAGCAAGGAACAAGCTTGGGGGCCACACTGCACACTTTAGTGTCCTATCCGTGGCTATGGAGGGTGAGGTGTGGCTCTTTGCTTCCCAACAGCTAATTCAAGAGGGCACCAAAGTCTGCACAAAAACCACAGGATATGGCCCTACTGTTCCTGCCCCTGGGAGGCATTTTTTCTCAAGAGGACACTGTGAGGCGATCATGAGCAGTATCTTCAGCCATATCTTTTCCATAGCACCATTGAATATTCTTGCTTTACCACATTCTTCTACCCAGGCTGCGGGCATCGCTGCAAAGCTTTCCAGTGGGGCAAGTCTGCAATGGTCCCTGTATGGTGTGGCTTAGGTTTCATCTCTCCAGCTAAACCCAGGCTAGTGATTCTCAGTGGGGGCACCCCTACTAACTTTAAGGACCTCTGCCAGAGCAAGTCCTGGGTATGTATAATCTTTAGAGATAATTTGCATGTCTCATCTCATCCACCAAGTATTGATTTACTGCTTTGGGATTCAGAAGGCAATCTCATTTTCTCTACTTACTCTGGCATTCTTTTGTGGTTTTAAGGTTATAAAAAGGGTGATAAACACTATTTTCAAGGATTTTGAGTAGAGTAGGGGAGGGTTTTCAAAGGGAAGCCCTCCATCCCCAGGAAATGTTCATGAGCTTGATATGTAAATAGGTCAATTCCAGCTCTTCTAGTTGAAATGGAGGTGGAAGTCCAGAAATTCCACCTGTTAATGCTTGCCGTTTCTTTGTCTATCTGCATCCCCTGAGCAGACTGGCTCCTTAGAATGCTTAGGGCTCCAAGGAGTTGCCTCAGGGTTTAAGCAAAGTGCTGAGATGGGCTACACCTTCCAGTTTCTACTAGAACAGTCCAATTTTTATTGTATTGTACAAGGAAAAGCTTGTGTGGATATTTTTATTTATTTATTTTTAGAGACAAGCTCTCACTATGTCACCCAGGCTGGAGTGCAATGGTGTAATCATAGCTCACTGCAGCCTTGATCTGGGTTCAAGCAATTTTCCCACTTTCTGTAGCTAGGACTACAGGCACACACCATCACACTCGACTAACTTTAAAATTTTGTTTGTAGAGACTGGGATCTCCCTATGTTGCCCAGCTGATCTTGAATTCCTGGGCTTAAGCAATCCACATGTCTTAGGCCTCCCAAAGCACTGGGATTACTGGTACAAGCCACTGCACCCAGCGGATGTTTTTTAACTTTCAGTAATCATTGTTCTAGCTAAAGGAAGGGCTGGAGTGTGTAGATTTAGGTAATACCTCATCATGTGAGTTCTGGAAGAGT